GCGAAAACAATAAGGCATGGTTTTATACTGGTTATTTGACGGATTTTATCAGGAAATTTTTGAAAGAACTTGGTCTCAACCACGAACCTACCTAGAACCACGAAAAATAGAGTAAGTTATTTTCTATTCAGTCTATTGCACAAAAATTTCAAGAAAATGTTGGAGCCCTTACGGTAGGTGGACATTTTGTAAAAAGTTAATTTGTTTGTGGCTCAAAAAAAAATTAGAACCAATCCTACGTTTTAGTACCAACCCGGAATCCCAGCCCCAAAATATCCCCAAAAATACCATTAAACCCCCTCAAAATCCCATTTAACTATTGACAAATAGTTATTAATGATTAGCGCTTAAGCAGTGATCGGGGGACACGAACCTCGACTTCTGCCATACCTAGTGTTGACGAAGGAAACAAGGTAATTGGGTGAATCTTCATATCGCCGAATTTTCATCTCGCCGAATTTTTATATCGCCGAATTTTCATTTCGCCGAATTACGTATGAAAATCTATGTTGGAGACCTTGGAATTTACAATATTTAGCTCCGCCTGCCATACGATTTTGTCGGAGCATCAAGAAGATAACTTTACCTTCGTTGAAAACAGCGGCACTGATGTTTGCGTCGACCTATTCCTGAAGAAGAGGCCAGCTGAGCTATATTTTATTGTTCGCTAGATAACGGGCTACGAAAAACCGGCCGAATGAACTTTAGACGAAATACACATTCGGCGAAATAAAAATTCGGTGATATAAAAATTCGGCGAAATGAAAATTCGGCGATATGAAAATTCGGCGATATGAAAATTCGGCGATATGAAAATTCGGCGATATGAAAATTCGGCGATATGAAAATTCGGCGAAATGAAAATTCGGCGATATGAAAATTCGGCGATATGAAAATTCGGCGATATGAAAATTCGGCGAAATGAAAATTCGGCGATAGAAAATTCGGCGATATGAAAATTCGGCGAAATGAAAATTCGGCGATATGAAAATTCGGCGATATGAAAATTCGGCGAAATGAAAATTCGGCGATATGAAAATTCGGCGATATGAAAATTCGGCGATATGAAAATTCGGCGAAATGAATGTAAATCAGGTAATTGCTGCTATGTCTTTGGACCTGGGAATCCAATATTTCAGATACCCAAGAGTGTGGTGGCAGATTTTGCTATGCGGCCTAGAAAGTTAAAACGGTATAGTTTGTAGCCTTACGATCTATCGGCGAAATATATCTATTTACATGTCGTAATGCCCACTAGGACCCATTGCCACATCTCCATCATTCGCGGGCTGATTTTAATAATTGAAACCGCCAGAACCGCCAAAATTAGCCTTCTGATTAAAAAAACGCTTCAGAATTTGCGAATTGACACGTTTTCGTCTCCGAAAATGGCTAAGAAACGTTTCGTTGCGTTGCGGCGCGGTTGGCTATTTTTCAAGGATCAAGGGCGTGAGGGGGGAACAGAATTTTAGTTTTTTTGAAAGATGTGCGGCTATTTTTCAGGAAAATGATTGTGCTGTAAGTTCGGATTCCACACAAATGCACAGACATATTGGATACAAGCAAATGCCGTGCGTTTTCAATGCTGAAAAAAACTGGCCATGTAAAGAAAAATTTTAAAATCCCTTGGGGTTTGGAATGAGGGGTTTTTTTGGGACGCCCTGTATACCCACGAAATTTAGATTCATCACCGTCAATGGCACGCTACCATCGCACATCTTCGACCACGATCTCGAGAGGAGAAAAGAGACCCCCGCTTGTTCCGCTTTTTTGTGCCCGATAAAGTGAAAGATCTGACCCCGAGCGAAATCCGGCCCACTCATATCTCTTTAGCGTAATATTCCGTTTTATAAAGCAACGATTTTTCGGACCACCGTTGGAAAGCGACAGGCAAGGTTGGATCTATGAATGCCCCGAATTAGCTTGGTTTTGCCGGAATTTAAGTAACTGGAAACGCTGAAGCAAAAATTTTATTCGACGCCGTATTTGCCACCGATTTAAAAAAAACTCTTCAGAATATGGTCAGCGGCGCAACGATAGCGTTCACAGAAAATTGATTGTCATCGTCATCATACAGCATCCGCTCTGGCTCTTTTTTAAGGAATAAAGCGTTTTTCGTATAGAGGTACCAGATGATAGCATTGTGTCACCGCCAATATAAACCAACATCTGATGCAAACAGTTTTTGGGTTTCGAGCCCAGCGAAGCCGAAGCGAATCGGATCAGATCTAGCGATTCTGTCTTGCTGGGGTGTAGCTGGTGTCCAGCATCACCCCATTAAGTGTCGTCAGGGTCCCCACCGGCTTGGTTTTTGTCGACTGCTAAATCCCAAAATTGCTCCATTATGAATTTCACAACACTTTCAACAGCTGGTAGCGATTTTCAAATGCCCGTTATCTCGTTGATTGCTGTATTCGGAAGGCGTTATCAGTATAGTGTTTTTCCTTCAATTCATTGCCTCCTTTCTGCCCTAATTTACCTCGTCAATTCAGTATTGATCGGGGCTTCTCCCTAGAAACTAACATTAAATGGGCCAATCTATCGGCGTGTACCTGCCATGCAGGAAATCGAGGAGCAGATGCGACGATTCACAGGTATTATCGGTTTACAAGGAAATGCCGAGAATCAGGGTTGTACTTTGCCATGAAAGGGCCGTCATTGGGTCCAGTTTTTTGCGCTGATTCCGGTTCTGTGGTCAGTAGTAGCCCTCACCATATTTTCATCATGATATTTGGTTTTTGGGGTCCAAAACTTTGCCGGAAGAAATGCTCTTGCCTTTTCTCTAATGCCAAAACCTTTTTGGGTGTACCTGTACCGAAAGGAACAGCTGCAAAACATTTTTCTGAAAGCAACTCGAGTTCGAAAACCTCAAAAGTAATTTTGTAAGATAATCATTATCAAACATTCAACATTTTTTTGGATCGTATTCGCAATAATTTTTGCCCACGCTGCCATGGATTGCATGATCTTCTGAAATATTCTAGCAATGCAGAAACCGCCAATATCTCGATAAATAACCGGGCTAGGGGAAAACTGACGGCAGGTTCAGAATCGGCTAAAAAAAGTGATCCAGAAGAACTATGTTTTTATCGCAAAGGGAACTTCCACGATCCACGATCTTCTTCCGTTTGTAGGAGGAACAATCTTCCGAATTCATAGGATTACCCATGGTAGTGCATCGACGGATTCACCAATACATCAGCACATTCGATCCGAAGTCACGATTCCGATTCGCCCGCTCTTGCCGCTTTCTATGGAAAATGACGATAGCGGCGACAAATACGCTGAGCCCGTATTCTGTCGTAAATTCCGAGTCTAACCAGGGGATCGATATCTACTATGATGAGTGGCCTGGCGGGCCGAGAGCAATGGTCACAATCGATAGTCCACGTACCATGGTGTTGCTACTAAGTGGAAATACAGTGCTGAAGGTCGAACTGTCAGGCAATGTTACCTACCGTATCCCCCGTGGGCTGCGAACATACGAATTATCAATGTTTATGGTCTCGCAAATTGTGGTGCCTGGTTTGTTAGAAATAATGAAGCCAGTCAATCACAAATATCGGCTGCTACAGTTCCGTTCCGATGAGCCCGAAGTGACGCCTGACATGATCGGCTTCTTTCGTCAAAATGCGCGCGCGGTGGTTATTCGCGGAAGCGTCGATCGGACACTATGGGGCCCGTTAGCCGATCAAATTTTTCGCGTACCCCGCGACAGGCTCAGGGTAGCCTGATATTGCGTGTGTTCGTAAAGCCTCGAGAACGATGGTTTTCGCGAAAAGCTTTCGTGCACGATAACAAGTATCTATAAAACCAACGCAACAGTTAAAAATTTTACATTTTATAATTTTGAGAATTTCGGCTAGCGAGAATCATGAGATTTTGCGGTAAAGTTTAACGTTGGTTTTTAAACTTTGAGGCATGCTAGAGGGATCGAGGCGGGACCGCCAAGTCAGAAAAATTTATACTTCGATATTCTGGAGAGCATTTTATATATTTGTACAGAGGAAACGATGCTATTGTCATGAATCTGATGTCCATGCTGCAATAAATGTTTGTGACATAAAATCCAAGAAAATGCAACTTCCAGGTTAGAGCGGCAGTCACCGCAAGTTTAAAGTAATGCAATATAAATGGCATTTCTAATTTTTTACGTGAAAGCAATGGATCTGCCTTCTATTTCAGCGATTAATCGATTTTGCTCCTAAATGCGGTCGAGTCATATGATGATGATGATGATTCATATCAAACGGTGCATCGCCATCATCACAGCACCCTCGGAAAAATCCATTTTGCTCCCATTTTTTTGAACCGGCGAAACATTATTTTCAGTTTTTTTTCTATGAAATAAATACAAATACACTGTCAAATAATTGTTAATCGTATTTTTAGGTCTGTGCCTCGCCCTGGGCAATTTTTCCACTAAAATTTATCGCTTTCTCCGAAGAGGCGATTTGCTTAATTCATCATGTTAATTTTGATAAGAATGTCACGACACGAGGAGTAGCCAGAAGCTTAAAAATTCATGGTGAGCGCAGGACTTTTTCGCGATCCTCAATTTCAGAAATAGACTGGAACGACGTAAAGTGCAACATCAATTAATTCCTGTTGCATAAAAACGCACTTGACGAATGACACAAATTACGTAAGTTTTAATCGATAAAACGTAAAAATCTGATATGTTTAAATCCGGTTGGATTATTTTACGTTTTTTATTATTTAAAGAAAAATAACCGCGAAGAGCCAGAACAGCCCAACGGAACCAAACGGAGCTAATCGGCGTCGAAAAAACCATGGTCAAGCCCGTCCCGATTTTGTTAAAATTACACGTACACGATCAACGGAGTAATCAGGTAAGACTTGTCAGCTAAAGTGTAGGAAAAAATTTACGTAAAAAGTATGAAATCTGACAGACCATTTTTACGAATAGTTTAAGAAAAAAAACCGAGGAGAGCCGCAGCGAACCCACAGAGCCGTGCCATAGCTGAATGCCGTCTAAAATGTTTTCAAAGGAGTTCGGACCCTCAAACTTTATCGTCACCAACATGTTTTAGGAAAAGTGCCCAAAGGTGCCCCAAAGAGTAGATGAGATTGGATGATTTTCATCGACATGCTGATGCTTTGCAGCTACCGGTCAGTCATTAGTGAATCCCTTTATTTCCATCACTTTACAATCCCTTTTCATGAAATTCCCGTGACAAAAGCACCGAGGAATGGTTTTTTTCGATAACCACCTCGATTTGATCGATTTTTTTCTCCAAAAGTGATCGCTTTCCCGGAAAATGGTGATTTATGTTTTCACTTTATTCCGTGATAGACACTCGGATACTGGACATACAGTTTAAGCCGTAAATTGCCGGGAGCCTGAGAAATTAAACTCTGGTGAGCCGTGTCATTTTTCGGTACCTTGAATTTCAGAAGACGTCGAAAAAAACCGTCGTCATGCCCAGCTATTAATTAATATTTTGGGTAAGTTACACGTGGTATTACTAAAGGAATCGAGCAGGATTTGTTGGATAAAACATAAAAAATATATATCTAAAATCCGGGTAGATAAAATTTTTACGAATCTTCGTACTTTCAGATAAAAAAACCAAGATTCCCGAAGAGATCCTATCGAAAAATCTTTGAGAGCCGGAAGGCGTCTAGAATGTTCTGAGCGATTCGTTCATTCGTTCCGTTCAAAAACCGAGCGATTTTTAGCTGTCGGTCAGTGCAAAGTGGATCCCATTACGTCAATCACTTTGCGGTTTCTTTCTTTTGAAATTCCCATTACATAGACTGCGCCGAATAATTTGAAACTAAATTATCAGGCCACCCGCGAATCTAAAATTGAAAACCACTAGACTGAAAAATTAACTATCATTTAGCACTACCATTTATGATTATCTCGAATTTAGGAAGAGTCGCCCTTACACCAGGATATTACACCAATTAGTTCATATTTTGTCAACGTTGCCGAGGAATTATTGAAGTAACGGACTGCGGGCGGAGCAAGGTTTGTTCCACAATCAATTTCCTCAACGCTACAATAAACGTAAGAAAATGGCCTGGCATCAACTATAAGAATTCAGTAGTGGTGTCTGTCCGTTTAAATAATTCCAGAACCGGAAGTCAAAATCGCGGCCCCTCGTGGCCGTGTTACGCCAATAGGAAGTGATGATTTTATGGTAGAGTGGCGCTTATTCAAATCAAATCGGCTTCAAATTGATTTGATTTGAACTAGCAAATTTGAGTGCGAAAAAAACAACTTCAAATCAAATCGATTTGATTTGAATTAGGGGCTGGCCAACTCAAATCAAATCGATTTGATTTGAATTAGGGGCTGGCCAACTCAAATCAAATCGATTTGATTTGGGATTTGAACAACAGGCTTATCAGGGATGCAAATTGAAAATCGGCGGTTCGGAGGGCTTTTGATAGCGCCGTTTCTGCACATTTAGGTGTCCTTTACAATAATTCATGGGGAGTTTTGATGACATTTATATTAAATTGAGCCAGACGGCTTTTTTGTTAGATTTTGCCTGCGCTATGGTTTTTCTTTGGAAAAGTTAACGGGTAAAAACAATAGGAAATGTATAAGGAATCGTTAATTGGGACGCTGGAACAATGCTAAGAGATTATAGGGAAAGAGCGGTGCAGGAATTACGAATTGAGTTTGGTTCATTTCTATGAGGTCTTATTCAAATTATTCAAATCGGCTGGATTTGATTTGAGCTGGTGGAACTCAAATCAAATCGATTTGATTTGATTTGCTCGGCTCCAATTCAAATCAAATCGGCTTGATTTGAACAATTTGAATCTTATTCAAATCTGATTTGAATAAGCGCCACTCTATTTTATGGTTTCCGGCCCTGTCCTAGACCAGACTGAAGTCAATACTTCAGTTGCAATGAAACGTAAGGCGTGGCGCATCAATACCAGACTTCCTGCTAGAACTCGAGTTCCTTGTGATGCAGAACCGACAGTCCCAAAGCAGAGCCTCCCAGTATTTCACCAAAAAATTGATCGAAAGTTGGATTCCCGCATTAACTAATTATAGTTCACTAACTTCAAACTTTCAGAACAAAAAAAAAAAGAGAAAAAACCAGAGTTCAAACCGAAGATTTCGAAGTCAATGCAAAATGCATTGAACTAGCTTCTTAACGGGTGAGATTTGCTAATGCACAAAAATTACGCCAAGCCATATTTCAGAACGTACACTGCTGGTCAATATCGCATACCTAACGGCTTATACCCGAGGTTTGCCTATACTTCCGAAAATCTGATTCGCGAAAATCGGGCTCCCGAAAAAATCTGAGCCCCAAAAAATCTGAGCCCCGAAATTTGGCTATTGGTTTTTAGGCTTCCGGCTCCCATAAAAACCCAAATCTCTGCTGGTATTTTTCAGAAGTCGGATTTTTCGAGACTCCGATTTTCGAAACTCAGATTTTTCGGTGCCCAGATTTTCGGGAAGTTTCAGGAGGACCTTCGGAAAAGCCTCTACCCTGAAATCGTTATTAGGAAGCACGATCTACTTGTTAGAAAAAACTAGAGTTCAAACCGAAGATTTGAAAGTCAATGCAAAATGAAGTGCACTAGCTTCTTAACTGGTGAGAATTTGCTAATGCACAAAAATGAGGCCAAGCCGTATCTCAGCGCGTTTCCTATTCAAAATCGCAAACCTAACGGCCTCTAGCCCGTGGAATCGTTAGCGGAAGCAACGATTTGGTGGCTTCCGCGCCCTGGCAAAAGACGCGGTTGAGGCCAATATTTCACTTCCAATAAAACGTAAGCTGTGGCTAGAAATACCAGAGTTCTTTTCTAGAATTCGAGCTCGTTATCCCTGCACAATCATAAAAGTGGTCGCGGAAACGGCCAAGTTTTTATAGAAGGTATGATTTTCTATCTCTTGGCTTTCAAAAAGATTTGCAGCGGGGTTTCAAGATCATCCTAAAGATAATACGTGAAGCTTTGCTGTCTCTGACAATCAGTTTGGCTTTCTCCCCTAATGGCCGGACGACTTGACAATTGCGACTGCAGATTTAAAACCACCTATTGGCCCAAGAAACAGTATTGTTCACCGATGTAGTTCCCGTCGACTTTGCCAAAGCCTTTGATACAGTACCGCACCCTAAACTTGTACGTAAACTCGGCCAAAAAAATTCAAACTGACCCAAAGTTTAGTAAGAATTTTTCACGAAAATGGGGCTGGATGATTCCCGGAAACGAAGGAGAGCCTGCAGATGTTGTCTATCCTGCCGCTAATAAATGTTTCGGAATTTCCTATCTATTTTGGGGGTAAGAAATTAATTGTTCCTTTGAATCCTGAATCCTTTGAAACGGTCCTTTCCAGAAGCCGACTGGCACCACGGGTCGCCGATCCCGGAGATGGTTGCATCTGGTATGGGGAGAGAGAATCTTAAAATCTTAAATCCGGTCTCTATCCTACCGCTACTGCTAATCCGGCCTACCAAATTTTAGAAGTAATGATTTTTAGAAGTAATGATTTTTAGAAGTAATGATTTTTGAAAGTAATGAATTTTAGAAGTAATGGTTTTAGAAGTAATGGTTTTAGAAGTAATGGTTTTAGAAGTAATGGTTTTAGAAGTAATGGTTTTAGAAGTAATGGTTTTAGAAGTAATGGTTTTAGAAGTAATCGTACCCCTGTCTATCCTACCGCTAATACATCGCACCTTTTTCGCTGGGTCTCTATTAAAGATTTTAGTGGCAATTCCGAGGAGCTATTTGGGCTTCAAATAAGAAAAAAAAATGTTTAAAACCACTTTGCTGCTCATCGAAAAAGGAATGCTAATACACTGAAAACTCTGGAAAATAATTCCCGCATGAACTGAACGACCTCGGATAAGTTTCAAATAAGTTGACGGACGAACACGAGAACGTATGTTATTTTGAAGTCAGTCTATTGCAAGAAATTCAGCAAAATGATGGAGTACTTGGACCACATCCGGTGCAGCGGAAATCTAGTCAAGGGTGGATTTGTTCGCCGGCTGGACGCCAACGACCACCAGCTTACCTACTTGGATGCCGGAATAATGAAGTATGTTTTTATGTTAAGCGTTGTAGCGATTTTAGAGTCCAATGGAGGCGATACGTCTCTTCGAAAAGAAAAATGTTGAATCTGCTTTCTTTAGCCACTACTTCAACGGTACGCTTTTCAAGTAACATTTTTTGGGCAAGAGTTCACTTTACCGCCCCCCCCCGGCCAGAAGGTCCCAAAAATTTTTTAAGGCTACCAATCGGTGGCTCTAGGTCCCAGCTACTATCCCCTGGCCGGGTATTGCGAAAAAAATAAATATTAAAATTTATACAATGAGTTCTCTCTTTATCATTTAATTAAAATAGTGTCTGAGCGGTTATTCGAATTTTGCTTGTTTTTGCCATAACTATTTTATTTTACATTATTTTCCGTTGTAATTAAAACGCTTAGTATATTTTTAACGCTCTATCGAGTGGCTTTAAAGAACTTTTGTAAAAATGTCGAAAACTAGCTTTGCACCTCCTGTTCCTATAGGGAAATCGCGTTTAAATTTTGTTTTTGTTTTAACTATTTGATATTAAATTATTTTGGGCTAAAATTAAAACTCTTAGTATATTTTTTGAGGCTCTATCGGATCGTGTCAAAAAATCGCGAAAAAAACGAAATATCAAAAACGTTGGGACGCTCGGGCTGGGGGGGGTAAAGTAAACCGTAGCCGTTTTTTGCAATGCTTCTAAGTTGGTGGCTCGTATTTGTTATTGCCACTAAAAAGCGATGACTTTGAACAACTTTATCAATTCAACGACAAGTTACAAGAAGACCGAATACCTGCCGGAATTGATCTGCCGGGGCTTGAGCTCCCATCACCTCCGGACTAGTATAAACACGGCTGTGCAATTGCCGAAACTTTATCGCGAAAAGAACACGTAAGTTCTGTGCTTTGACTTTCAAAAAATTTCAGGAAAAGGAGAACGTTGCCTCGTTCCATACCATAATAAGAGAATACCTCAATATGAATACCCACGATCTTCTCTTCGATCTGAGCGATGTTTTTGCCATACAAAAAAACGTATGATTTCTGGATTTTCCTTTTCAAAAAAATCTAAGGAAAGTATTAAAAGTATTTGGACAAAAGGATACCTGAATTCGAAAATGATTACAACCCCATCTTTCCAACCATCATTTTTTATGGCCACAGGAAATTATTAAAATTATTGTTCAAATAGCGTAGAGCTTTTTTAATAGGGACCTTGGAAAATTTTAGTGCCATTTAGTGAACAGTTTGTTTGACGTGGACTTTTTTGGTGTTAGGTTAGAAAGTGTACTTTTTTTAGGGTGCGCATTGGCACTGCGGGGGATAATGCAGGGTGTTGATGTTATACTGTTGGCCGACGGTAAGTTCGTGCTCCGTTTGAAAGTTTTCTCAGTCCAAAAGCTTATTCTTGACTTTCTAAACCCAAAGTCTTTTCAGTAGTGAATGTCAGACATGTCTTAACAGAACCACCCGATTTTGAAGAATGGGTTCTTGTTTGGTAAAATTTTCGAAAAATCGATTTCTGGAACGAGCGAAAAACGGTTAGGTTCGTTGAATTGATCCATTTTACGCTCACAATGGGACTTTTTTGAGTTAGTTTTCGGAATGGGGCCAATTATGTAGAATTTTTTGCTGATCAAACCATAGTTTTCAGAAGCCACGAAACAACCACATTTGAAAAGTTAGAGGCTTTAGAGGGTGAAAACAGCCAACTTTTATGGTTAATTAAGATTTATCCCAAATTTTAGAACAAAAACCCGATTCCTGGGTCTTTCTGATCCCTTTAAATAATAAATCTTCCCACATCAAATTTAACGTGTTGCAACTAATTTCCAGCATAATGGAACGAATTTGCGGCCCGCCGTCCAGTGTGACAGCCAAGCTTGGAAAGATGAAAACCGTCGAGAATTAGGTAGGTAATGTAAACATTTTGAGCAACCAAATAACAGGCAAATCATCCGCCGTCGTCCACTTGAAACTGACCGCAATAGGCACGGCTTTCAACCTGATAGGGACCGTGACGTTTTCAACGTTTTAAGCTGCCAAGGTATGACGGATTCGCCATGAGGCGACTGGAAATAGCCGCCTCGGAAATTGTACAGCGCAAAGTGAGAACCCTATGCGGCTCGCACTTGTTCATCTCGCACTCTTGGTTAAAACGCTCTTTTTAGATTCACACCATTCGCCGTCAGGGCGTCATCGGATTCGGTCTTCGAGTCGCGCTGCTGGCAACCCATGTTTACCAAGTCCCGCGATCGCAAATGGCCGACCACCATCCAATCCCTGCTTCAACAGTGGTGAGCCAAATAATATTTTCTGACCAACTTTTGGCCGTCAAAGAAAAGAAATCACACTCTGAAGTTATGCTTTTGTCAAATTATCTATGATTTTACAAATCATGTTTCAGTCTTTCATGTCTTGAACTCTTTGAATATTCAGATACGAGGTCAAAGTTCGTGTAAGACGGTGTAAACTATGAGGAATCTAGAAAGTAGCGGCCCACCCATTCCCTCATCATCGTCCCTCTCAAATTGCGAAAAAAAACTCCAAGAAAATTGCAAAGTCTCTTGCATAGGCAAATAGCCACTTGCGAATATTCCAATATATCCTCGACATTTATCAGGTTGGATAATAAGTTCTGTCACAATTTTTTTAAATAGCTCGTTCAAATCACAGATGTTGCCAATTTTGGAGTTTGAGATATGGTTCGATAGGTCTGGCAGCTCTCTATCCTGGGAAGACCATCAACTGACCCAAAAAACTGATGGATTTCGAGATACAGCCCCGAGAAGTTTTTCGCAAAATCATACGAAACGGAGTTTGCAAGTTGTCTCTGCATAGAGCAATTTGCATACGATACCTTTAACGCCAATCGATAGCTCTCGAGGAGTAGATATCGATAGATGTTCAGATCATCAAAATCGGACATCGGATGGCCGGGATACGGCCTTTTGAAATTTGGCCCGTTTCTTAGAACTTTTCTCGAAATCCCATACATTTGATCAACCGGAGCCAAAACTGATCGCTTGATTTTTGAAAGTACCGGGAGCATTTTGACCAAATGTATGGGATTTCGAGAAAAGTTCTAAGAAACGGGCTAAATTTCAAGAGGCCATATCTCGGCCATCCGATGTCCGATTTTGATGATCTGAACATCTATCGATATCTACTCCTCGAGAGCTATCGATTGTGTTAAAAGTATCGTATGCAAATTGCTCTATGCAGAGATAAATTGCAAAATAAGTTTTTCATGATTTCGCGGAAAACTTCTTGAAGCTCTATCTCGGCGTCCCTCCAGTTTTGGGGGCTATGAAGGTCTACCCTAAATAGAACTTGATGAGACCTATCAAACCATATATCATACTATCAATTCGGGTACGTCTGCAGCGTTAACAAACGATTCCAAAAAATTGTGACTGAACTTATTATCCAACCTGATAGATTCGTCACCGCTACCCGCGTCCCGTTTCCCCCGATATAAGGCCACGGCCCCCTGCTACCAGGAGGAGAGAAGAATGCCGAAACCCCTGACCCGATAAAAAGAATAAAATTCTGAACCCGAATGGCAAGCACAAAACAATTTACTTCTGTTTTTCCAACTTTTGTGCGTACTTAGAAGCCTTCAATCGCTAGCTTTGATTTTTATCTGAATGATTAATCTTGGTCTCAGAAGACGCATTTCCTGGAATAATCGCATTTGAAATGTTTTCGATGCAGAATAGACGTGTCATGGGATTAAGGTGGGGTGTCTTTCGTTTATCGGAGCCGTTTGTGATAACGGTCCAGGGTAAAAACGGAGAGCAATGAGTAACGGGGGGCAAGACTTTTGGTCCAAACAAGCCACTTGTTTTCGTAATCTGAATATTTGCTAAGGTTTAATTTACCCGGCAAAAATGTTTTTGATATTTTCGCTAGTTTCCGGGGGTTTTTGGACGCCGCTCGATGGAGCGTCGAACCGTTTCCTTGATCTCCATAAACGAATTCAACTCAATAATAAAATTGCAGAGATGAATCTGACTCTTCTACTAACGGGATTGGCTGTGACGAACAGAAGCTTTGCTACTGACGGTGACTATGGGCATTCACAGTGCTACAATAGCATGGCATTCAACAGCTGGAAACTTTCTTCAAAGGTTGTTCAACCAATTTTATTCGAATTTCCCAGTTTTGCAGGCCGGGATAGTCGATTGTCCAAATACCGACAATGGGTACTGCTATAAATTTGCCGCTCCGGTGGGTTAGAGAATTTTGTGAAAACACGCGAAAACTTTAGAATTTTGCGCGCTGGACTTGCCCGTCTGATGATTTATGGACGGATGAGCATGGGTGTAAAGTAGCGTTCAGAATATAAAGTGAATTGGTTTACTATCATAATGTCGAAAATCAGAATGTCGAAATTTGGTTCTTTCGCATCATCGGAGGGTGACCGAAATTTTTTGTACAAATCCAGCAACGCTAAGTAATGTAAGCATTTTAATGGTGCGTTTAGTAAATTAATACTAGATGTAGACCAGAAAAACTATCTAAAACATTTCATAAAAAAAATTTTGCCGAAATTTGGTTAAAAAATAGCCATGTTTGGTCCAAAAAGCACTATTTTTTTCTAGAATTTGGTGAAGTTTTCACCTTAGGAATAACAAATATTAGCTCAGAGACATTCCTGCTATCTATTATATATAAACCAGTGCAAAAGACCGCTTCGCGGCCCTTTTCCACTGGGCCCCGTCCAGGAACCCTGAATTTGAATGGCTTCTTTTTAGCCTGCGGCGCAAGAACCTGAGTCAGACCATTCTTTGGCCCGCGGCGCCAGAGCCAGTGTTGCGCTGGAATCCTTGAGCCTCCGGCGCTAGCTAATGCTTTTTCTCCCGGATTTAGCCTGCGGCGCGAGAGCGTGTTTCAGGGACCTTTTCTTTGGCCTGCGGCGCGAGATCCTGGGCCAAGAACCTTTGCTTGGGCCTGCGGCTCCTAGCGAAGGCCAGGCCTAAATCGCGCACACGGAAAGCCTAGAAATATGTTTTGTTGCTGAATTACCAAAAAGCAAAAAGCAAAATTTTTCGCGGATCCGAACCCGCGACCCTCAGCGCCTTAGCCCCGGCCTCGATCCCCTACACTACAGGGGAGGTTGAAACCGGCAGCGATAAAGGCCTCTTCATATCCTGGGAGTCGAGTTGTGCTGTGCTAAAAGGAATGGGCCCCAGGATCTCCGACAGGCAGGCCTTCAGGCCACTTTACAAAATTCAACTTTTGAGGTGGAAGCTGGTCGAATCTTGTGAAAATACAGGGTGTCTCAGGATTATCCGGACAAAACGAAAAAGTCATTTTTTCGCCTTTAGCGCTGTTTTCTGCAAACTTAATGTTTTACATATAAGTTCTTGAGGCGTTTTCGATATTCGGAGCAAAAAAAAATTTTCGAAGACGCATTAATAGCTTCAGAATCAAGCGTTGAACGCGGTAACATTTTTCACCTCTGAAATACCACGAAACTTGGGGCAAAGATTCAAAAAGTGTTCCGACATTTTTCTGGGCAAGATATGACGTCTTCTGGCAAAACGGACGTGTTTGCGGCAAGGTTTGGTCATGTCAATGATTATTTTCTAATTTAATATCAATTTCCTTAGCATTGTTGATAAGGGTGTTTCGAAGCTTGCGCGTGCTCAAGCTCCTCAGAAACCAAAGTTAACTTGGCCTAAATTGCTTGTACATAATTTTTACTGTAGCTATTTATGTTTTTATACGTTGAAAAATATCTTATCGGGTTTTTAGGGTCCCTCCGCACCAAATCTTGTAAGTTAAATATGGCGGCGCGTGCCTTTATTTCATCTTTTTGCTTGCTGATTTTTTTCCTAGGGTCAACCTAGCATTTTTGGGTCGGGCGGAGCATGGACGTATCATATTCGACCTCTTCCTGTAATTTTTCGTTATTCCTGTTACATTAAAGCTTTTTATGGCGTCGGAAACAGAATATGTTGTGAGCGTTTGCCAGATGGCAGAAATTGGGTTCAAACTTCTTCGATTTTTTACAAAGCGATATGTTGGAATCTCCCGCAATTTTCTTTGCCAGCACCTCAAAAATGCCTCAAATATTAATAGGAGCTACACGGTGTGTGCATAAAACAAGAAGAAGATTAGGAAAAAATGGCTTTGAAAGTTTGTCCGGATAATCCTGAGACACCCTGTAATAAGGTGCGCGTGATCCACGCCTTTGAATGCATGAGTGGTCAAAAATACAGGTCCAAAATCGCCATGTGTATTGAGTTATGGCCTGGACACCACCGCCCGTGGCACGATTCATTAAGGACCTTGCAGAAAAATCCTTATAAAAACTTTATTTTCAAAAATTTTGCAAAATCCAAAAAAATGTATCTGGGGAATCACTTTTCCCATCAACCTTCCAAAAATCAGGCCTCAATTCCCTCTAGGCGCTGAGAAAACTTCCGGACAACGCGGCAAAAACCCATTTTGTTAAGGATTTTTCACATTTTTGCTTATAAAATTGTTAAATGAAGGTATTTCGTAAAAGAAAAAAATGCATCACTGACAAATGTGTTTCTCCACCTCCATGCCAAAAATCGAATTATGGACACCATCCCGAAAAGACACCATCCCGAAAGACACCATCCCGAAAAGACACCATCCCGAAAGACACCATCCCGAAAAGACACCATCCCGAAAGACACCATCCCGAAAAGACACCATCCCGAAAGACACCATCCCGAAAAGACACCATCCCGAAAAGACACCATCCCGAAAAGACACCATCCCGAAAGACACCATCCCGAAAAGACACCATCCCGAAAAGACACCATCCCGAAAGACACCATCCCGAAAAGACACCATCCCGAAAGACACCATCCCGAAAAGACACCATCCCGAAAAGACACCATCCCGAAAAGACACCACCCCGAAAAGACACCATCCCGAAAAGACACCATCCCGAAAAGACACCATCCCGAAAGACACCATCCCGAAAAGACACCACCCCGAAAAGACACCATCCCGAAAAGACACCATCCCGAAAGACACCATCCCGAAAAGACACCATCCCGAAAGACACCATCCCGAAAAGACACCATCCCGAAAGACACCATCCCGAAAAGACACCATCCCGAAAGACACCATCCCGAAAAGACACCATCCCGAAAGACACCATCCCGAAAAGACACCATCCCGAAAGACACCATCCCGAAAAGACACCACCCCGAAAAGACACCATCCCGAAAAGACACCATCCCGAAAAGACACCATCCCGAAAGACACCATCCCGAAAAGACACCATCCCGAAAGACACCATCCCGAAAAGACACCATCCCGAAAGACACCATCCCGAAAAGACCCAGACACCATCCGAAAAGACACCATCCCGAAAGACACCATCCCGAAAAGACACCATCCCGAAAGACACCATCCCGAAAAGACACCATCCCGAAAGACACCATCCCGAAAAGACACCATCCCGAAAAGACACCATCCCGAAAGACACCATCCCGAAAAGACACCATCCCGAAAAGACACCATCCCGAAAAGACACCACCCCGAAAAGACACCATCCCGAAAAGACACCATCCCGAAAAGACACCATCCCGAAAGACACCATCCCGAAAAAGACACCACCCCGAAAAGACACCATCCCGAAAAGACACCATCCCGAAAAGACACCATCCCGAAAGACACCATCCCGAAAAGACACCATCCCGAAAGACACCATCCCGAAAAGACACCATCCCGAAAGACACCATCCCGAAAAGACACCATCCCGAAAGACACCATCCCGAAAAGACACCACCCCGAAAAGACACCATCCCGAAAAGACACCATCGAAGACACCATCCCGAAAGACACCATCCCGAAAGACACCATCCCGAAAGACACCATCCCGAAAAGACACCATCCGAAAGACACCATCCCGAAAGACACCACCCCGAAAAGACACCATCCCGAAAAGACACCATCCCGAAAAGACACCATCCCGAAAGACACCATACGGAAAAATGTCATGATTGGCCGGACGTATATTTTCCTATGCAAATGAGCAAGTACCCTTAATCTGCATTGGAAAAGCACATTTGCATAGCGAATTGCGCGTTTTTTCTACGTTCGGAATGTTATTGCGTTTTTCGGGATGGTGTCTTTCGGGATGGTGTCTTTTCGGGGTGGTGTCTTTTCGGGATCATGTCTTTCGGGATGGTGTCTTTTCGGGATGGTTCCTTTCGATGGTGTCTTTTCGATAGTGTCTTTCGGGATGGTGTCTTTTCGATGGTGTCTTTTCTGGATGGTGTCTTTCGGGATGGTGTCTTTTCGGGATGGTGTCCGTATACCCAAAAATCAGCTCGAAATTCGGCCTGACGGCCGAGAAATCGGCTGTACAGAAAACGACATACTTTTCTCGCTTATGGGATAGGATTTTAATCGTGCGCCCGACCGACTGACCGGGAATTCAGCCAAATTTCGCATTCAAATTTCAAATTCAAATTGTGGGATGCGGGGGGGGGAGACCAGCGCTGAAACCCCGCGTAGCGGGGGGTCAGCGCTGGTTTATATTATAAAATGAGATGATTTGAACAAAAAAAAATGGTTTTTTTGGACATTGGATCTTGGACAATTTTGATATTCTGTTCTTCGAAATTTTGACGGTAACCCGCTAAAATATGGTATTTTGTAAGATAAATACTTTTAGTCGGAAGGCAGCTACGATTCTACGATGTCAGTTTTCAATGGGGAACCGCTTAAAGGGAAAGTATATTGCTGCAAGGGTAATTTGTGCAACACGACACCGGCTGGCCAAGGACTCTTTGCCATATCTCTCTTTTTGTCTGGATTTCTGCTGATGTTCCGGCAATAAATAATTTTGTGTCTTGTTCCACATACTATGCTAGTAAATCGATTAAAATGTCTGTGAAGTGGAATGAAGCCGCCGAAGCCATCAATGTCGGCCTCGGGGGCTCCCCCCCCCCTTGGCCGGGGCCCGAAAAGTTCACAAGGGCGGACCTTATGATTTTCATTTTCCCAGGCATTTTTCGGCCTGCGGTGCTGTTTATTGCGGTTTTTAAGACTATTTTTAATGCCATGGAACCTGTTTTTCCAGAATTTTCCGCCAACGGCGCTATTTTTTTCGTTAACGTATCAATTTGGTTACAATAATTTTAACAAACGCTGAAACGGCGCTGCAGGAAAACGGTCATGCGTCATCGAACCATAAGTCATCATGTTGCTTCCCCAAAATAGCGGGGAAGGGGGGGGGCCTTATCATTCGATGGCATTTCTTGACGCACAATTCCGTCAAATTACGGAATTCCGGCGTCGGCTCCCGGATAAAACGATGAATATTTCGATTTTCTCGACGTCATTGCGGCAATCAGCAATGTTGATAAATGATTTATAGTGGTAAACCGATGAGAATTGAAATTTTTTTACTCATCTATCGAGTCTATTACGGGAGATTTCTGCTAAAACCCAGCGATCGTCTTGGATTAGCCGTCGGCCAATGCAATTTCTCTCTTGTCTATGCCTCGGGAAACGACGGGCATCAACCTCTTCAATTGACGAGGCGAGGATTTATTTTTATGAAGGCTACAAAATGCGGTGCTTAAAAAGACATTTCTACGCTTTTCAGGCAAGGGTCCCAATCGATTTCGTCGATCTACCCATCGTGGTCCACCGACGAATTCTCGAATTTATGGGCACGACTCATCCGAAAACGCGATTTCGATACGCGAGAGCATGTCAATTCCTCTGGAAAATGACGGAAGATTCGACGAATAATTGGTCGAATTATGACGTGACATTTTCTGATCACCCAAAGGTGGAGATATTGTACGATCAGCCACCCGGGAAAAGGTGTTACTCCTCTGGGGTGCATATCGAGAGTCCGAGGACGCTGGCATTGCTGTTGTCTGGAGCCACTGCCAATAGCACGGTTATTTTGGGAACCGCTGATAAAATTCCGATCGGAATGAGAACTTTACGGCTGAAAACATCGAGATATGAGGGTGGTGATTCTGAAAAATTAGCCTTACTGAAATCTATGAAGCCACGAAAACAAAAATATCGGTCCGTATGGTTCGCATCGGATTTTAGACAGCCAAGCATCGAACTTTTGCACTATGCGAATCAAAATATCGATTACATCAGCTTCAGTATTTTTCTAGAAAAAACCTATGGTCTGAATTGAAATGCGCAAGTTTTTCAATGATGGTTCGGCCAAAAGATCTCAATATCATTCAATCGTACATCGATCTACTCGTGTCGGAATGGAAATCCGGGATTAGGGAAATTGCAAAAATTGATATTTATGGAGAGGAGAATACGAGAGCCGAGAATTACGCAAGAAGGGAAGAGCACGAAAGGAAAGACGGTCAACGACTACTTATCAACATCACCCTGGTCAATTATTATATTTGGAGGGTAACGCCGAAATAAAATTTCATTTTTAATAAAAGAATTGCTTTTCGAACGTTGACACAGCTAGGACTTTTCTTGAAAATAATATTTTTGTCCCGGTTTCTTTTACGTTTTTAGTGAGCTGGCAAGACGGTGGCTACGTATCACACAGCGTTGGTCAAATTACTATATTTGGAGCGCTGACCAAACGCAATGGTATCGCCATTATTTCTCGAAAAAATATTTTTGATCGCATGAATTTTATCACAGTCAAATTTGAAAGGCAGAATTCGCCCACATGGCCGTTATCAGGCAACAACCGTTCCAAGCACAAGCCATCGGCCCTTATCCGATTTTCCATTTTTTTCCCTCACTAAAATTGATATTGATTTGCGCTCTGTCTTTCAAAAATACAGCAACTCCTTTATCGGCGAATTTCAGCAGAATTGAATTGTACCATCTATTATTTGGCAGGATCCGGAGTTGATGGACCTCGAAGGCCATCCTCATTTTGAGATGAAAAGACGCAGAATGACCAGCGGCCATCCGGATCACGCCATGCGGGTAATTTTCAACGGCAAAACCCCGATTCTATCCCATTGGCTTGTCCTTGAGCAATTCAAAGATTTCAGATGCCATCCACGCCAGATTTCCTCAAACTGCCCCACGTAGTCCATCAACGCCTCCTCGCATTTGTGAACACAACAGCTCCGAAGACACGCTTTCGATACGCGAGAACTTGCCATTTCCTCTGGAAAATGACGGAAGAAACGCCGAATAAGTTATGGAATTATAAAGTCAGGTTCTCCTCTTCATTTGCGCAGATTTGGAAGCCAAGTAGCCGGAATCCTCCCACTTTCAGACCGCTACGGATTGAAAATGCGCGCACATTGAAATTACTTCTATCCAAAACTACAGTAACCGCCATTGAGATCAGGCATTTTCCCAAACATGGACTCCCTTCTAGTATTAGAGCATACCATCTAAAATTGTACGGCATTCAAAACCGCGATCTCCTCGCTCTGCTTGAACAACTGAAACCACTTCATCATAAATACAAACGCGCAAATATTACTTTGAATTGGCCTGAAACAGCATCCCCCGAGTTAATACAATACGTTAACAATAATGTCGAGAAACTAATTATTGAGAGATTTTTCAATAGAAATGTATGTTCCGACTTGAAATGCACTAGATTCGTGGTCCGAAGGCACACCGAATTCTATGAATTATATGACGTGGAACCGTGGATCGATTTACTTGTAAACGAATGGAAATCGGGAGACCGAGAAATCGAAGACATCAAGTTTGTTCATGACTTGGTTGAGCCCCGAAATCTCGAACACGGCCGCGAAATTGATGGGCGACGCCTGTGCGTCCGCACCATGCGAGAATCCGGTTTACAGCTGTACACCAGGTCTGCCTAGACCGTCGTTGTGTTTTTGAGGTAATTTTCGAGGCATGTAGCTGTCATCGCGCAGTTTTCTAGACAACTTGCATTGTTAGCGCGTTCGGAAAAAATTCCCGCGAAAAATACTGGCAAGACTTGACATTACCCCTCCCCGCAGCCGAAAGTTCGCAAAGGTTTTTCGATATAACTGTTTTATATAACACCAGGGTTGAAAAGCCGCTTCGCGACTTTTCAGCCCTGGCCCCGTCTGACCCTAGAATATTCTCCACTTTGCATGATTTTCCTGGATTCCGATAAACAAAAAATGAAAAGTGTTGCCTCTTTCCCGTTATATAGGCGATCGCCACTTCCGGCGCATGCTAATTGTTTCCTAACAAAGAGAGTCTCCAATTTTGCAACCAAAAACTTAAATTAAATAGCGAAAATAGGTGATTTTGTTAAATATCATGTGTGTGCAGTCATCTCCTGACCATTACGCACCTAATGACGTATCGAACATATCCCTAAGTACTTCCCTTCTTGAGATACTACTGGAACACGGTGACGGAAGTTGTATGCAAAGTGGCACAGACACACACACAAACACTATTTTTTTATATATAATAGGATTATTATGGGGTGTAATGAAAACTCCAAGTATCTTTTGATACTCGATCGAACGGCGTGGCCAAAATCCCAACAAAATAGCGGAAATGTCGAAAAAGATTTAGAACTTCCGGCTGCGGGACCTAGGCGTCTTGCCAATAATGAAAATTGCTAGTTTTCTCGAGTACTCAAGCCCGCTTTTCAGGACCTTCGCGAATCCGGTTAACTCAGCGCCATTCACAGGGACCTTGGCAAGATCCAGGGATGCAAGCGCTAACCTTCTAGTTCTGAATAAATTTATCTAATCAGCCCTCTGAACTTCGACGTTTATTTACGTGCGAATCAGCCATCACAGGTTGTTATCAACAACCATTGTTTCAAAAAATTATTTTGACAAATTACAAACCTCACAAGAGTTAGTTTAATCTAAATTTTCGGATGATAGCGGAAGATGGTGGACAAAAGTTTCCAACATTTGGTTTGTTTGGCTCTATTTTGCCGGTTTAGTGTGGAAATGTTCCCTAAATTGCATTCATAGCAGAACTCGGCGTGCTTTTTTACCTGCGACACGCTTAAGACCACAAATCCGCAAAATAAAAAGGTTTGATAAAATTCTCAAAAATGTCGATGACAAAAGTTTCCAACATTTTTCTTTAAAAGCTCCGGGTAAATGAATGGCGTCCTCTAGAGTGGTCATATTCATGCCAAATCGTTTAACATAATTGTGTTCAAGCATTCAGTGTTTGTGCGTTGTGTTCAAGTTCAAAAATCATACGTTCAAGCATGCATGCCGAATTAGCCTAAAAAGGAAACCAAATTTGTTTTGCACAGGCGGGCTGAAGCGATTTTTCAATTTCGCTTAAAACTAGCTTTAAAAAAATTCTAATAGGGAAGCAACGAGATTCCGTCTCACACATCGAATAGAGAATTTTATTGCATATCCGTTCATCCAAAAAACATTTTGGTTCTTGCCCGTTTTCCGGTCCGAAAATTAAAAAGAAAGAAAAATATTGCGCGAACTTTAGTTCCAACGTAACAGGTAACCTCTGTTCAAAGCACAAGCCATTGGCCCTTATCTGCTTTGCGTTTTTCACCTTTAAAATAGAACTACGTTAAAAATTAAAATACCTTTTACAATTACCAATTAAATTCATTATCGATTTGTCATGTTGATTTTTTAATGCGTCCGCGAATTTTTCTAGTCCTGAATAAAGCTTTGAAGCATTTTTATCGAAGCAGTTATTGTGAAAGACACCGCCATCATCAAAAAACATTTGTTTCAAGCGGAAACATTCTTTTCCCTATTTTTCGCTGACTAATCGACTTCATCGATTTGCGCCCACCTCTTGGAAGCACATAACGCCCGATTTTGCCGGAATCTTCTGCTGCATTTAAACTTCTACCCAACAATTCAATAAACGAATGGATGAATGGTTCTGGGAGAATTCGGAAAAGGACTGGAAGGCACGACTAAAACGGCTAGGAGTCGAAGATCGCTATATTAACTGGAAAAGGCCCGGATCATCCACAACCACCAGTCCAGGCGATGGTAGCCAGGTAATTGAAAAAAGGATGATAAACCGATGATTTTTTTAGTTTTCCTTTGAATTTCGGCGCCCGGGAATCGATTGCAAATCGATAATGATGAGCCGCCAGGTAGTTAATTCTATTCATTTTATTCCAATTCTTCCCTCTTTTTCTCGGGGGTCCGGCGGAGTGTCGGAATTTCACGATTTATATATCGATCGAAAGCGCTGGAAAGTGAAGTCCAGAGTGTTTCAACAAGTTTTGCAGCATTCCAATATTTGTGTCAGATTTAGTAATTTTTTTGCGTAACCGTCCAAATTTTCGATGCTTTTCATGCTTCCAGTTTTTCGAATGACTATAAAAACCCTGAGAAAAGGGCTGGTTGACTTTTCGGAGGGCTTTCGAAGGATATTATTCGTAGAAATCGTAGAAATCGCACACTCGTCGAAAACGCGAGAAGGAGAATGATTTGGTGGACAGCTGGGTTTACCCGACGGAATTCCTCCCTTTTCAGGCGCAATCGACGTCAGATTTCCTGAATCTACCCCACCCATTCCATCAGCGGCTTATGCAATTTATGAGTACGACAGATCCGAAGACACGATTCCGATTCGCTAGAACGTGTCAATTACTATGGAAAATGACGGAGGAATCAAAGGATAATTGGTCGAATTATGTCGTCACTTTCCATAGGACCTTTACGACTATTTCCCCTGTTCCATCAGAATCCCATCGTGAAGAGTGGGATACAGTAGGGATTGTTAGCAAAACTACCCTGAAACTACTCTTATCTAAAACGACGGTATCCTGTGCCCAAATCATCGACTATCCGGCCCCAGGGTTATCGTGTGGGGTGAAAACCTTCGAGTTACAAACGTTAGAATGCCTAAGTGGTTGCTCTACTGAAAAACATGAAGCCATTGCATCAGAAATACCTACGGGTCGATTTCTTCTCAAGGTTCCGACCACCCCCAGTAATACTCGATCTAATCCAATACCTCAGCAATAATGTCGAACATCTTGTTTCCACTGTATTCTTTGATTCAAATTCGTGGCTCCAGATGAAATGCCCGCAATTTTCGATTGAATTTGGGGAGGAGGATCAAGGTCGTGTAACACGGTACGTCAATTTGATTCTGAAGGAGTGGTACTCGGGAGAGCGAGAAATTGAACAAATCAGAATTTTCGCGAATTCGGATAAGATTGGGGATAGTGACCATCAGCGTGAAATGGACGGACAACGATTGCGTATTCGGCGTCGAATTCGTGGTTACATTCAGCTGCTAAAAGTTGTCGAATAGTTTCGCAAGTTTTCTTTTTGATTTTTACCTGTTTATATCACATACCACTCAACGGTCCCCCAAAAAAAACGACCCGCCTCTAGCAAGCCGCAGAAATGGCCGATTTTGACGATTTGGGTATCGATCGAAATCTCTCGGAAAGGCCAGAAAGATAAACTTTTTCTTATTCAATATTTATTGCTATTCGTTATTTTAATTCACGCATTTGAGGGCCAAAATCCATGAAAACTGCAGATTTTAGGCAAAATCCGCATCTAAATTGCCTGCTCAAGCTAACAGGACGCCACTGATTTTCCGCTTTTTTGAAGAAATTGTTTGGTCTTGAGCGCGCGATAAAAATTTTTCGAGACAAAAAGCGCTTGTGCCCTCGCCGTTTTGAGGGCTCTCGAATGGCGTAAAAATCATCCAGATACGAGTTTCCTCCGGGCCGCTGGAGGCCGGGTCGATTTTTTGGGATACGCTGTAGTCGCTTACTTCTCTCTTGTGCCCGATTTTGTGTAATTATCAATCCTGAATAAATTTTCTACGAATCGAATCGTCAACTATCCGGTCACCTGAATTTAAAAGTTTATTGGTCTGCGAGTTAGCCCTAAGAATCATCGTTTGAAAAATAAGAAAAAAGGAAATTGGAATAAATGGCTTTTGTTATCGCGTCCCAGGCGAACTGCAGGGCAGCTAAAAAAGAGCAAGCACCCAACTAGCCGTTATCTTTCAATATCCGTTCCAAACACAAGCCCTTGGCCCTTATCTGGTTTTCCTTTTGTCCAAATACAATATTGATCAATTTGCGCCCGAATTCTGTGCAAAACTCAGCAATTGGCCAATTTCAGCAAAACTAAATCGTACCGCTGAGCTTTGGCAGGATCTGGAGCCAATGGATCTGGATTGCTATCCGGATTTTCGGATGAAAAGGAGCAGAATGGCCAGCGGCCATCCTCCGCATGACACTACCCAGGTAATTTCAGTTGAAAAAGCCAATTCTAGCCCATTTTATGCGAGATTATCCTACAGAAATCCGATTGTTTCAGATGCCCTCCCCCACAGATTTCATCAAACTACCCGTGGTCTTTCACGAACGTCTTATCGATTTTGTGAGCACGACAGATCCGCAGACACGATTCCGATACGCGAGAACTTGCCAATTTCTATGGAAAATGACGGAAGAAACACCGAATAAATGGTGGGACTATCTGGTCCGGTTGGATATTAGTTCTACGGCGATTTTGCCAGGTCCTTCGCAACGCAATGGTGGCAACTGGCGTGAAATATATATTAACAGTCCACGTACCCGGAGACTACTTTTATCGGAAACTACTGTAAACACTATTTCGATGCTGCGTTTCCCAGAGCATGAAATCCCTCCTGGAATGCGAGCATACCAACTATCAGATTTGAATGCGGTTCAAAACGGTGATCTGCTGACCGTGCTTCAACAGCTAAAGCCACTTCATCATAAATATCAATCCATTCTACTTTTCTTGAATCGAGCAGAAATTGAGACCGTCGAGCTATTCGAGTACATGAGGAACAACGTCGAGGAACTAGTCATGCATGGATTACCCCGCCGGGACCTATGGTCCCTGCTGAAATGTCCGAAATTCACTGTGGCAATATATTCGGACCACCACAAGGCCGAAATCGAATCGTGGATTGATCTGCTGGTGAAAGAATGGAAATCTGGAGAGCGAGAAGTCGAATCAATCGAGTTTTATAATTACGACGACGAACGGAATTCGGAACACCGCCGGGAAATTGACGGACAACTGCTTTGTATTCGCGACGTACCGGATCTTGGCGTCAAGCTTTGGAGCAGGTCGGACTAGCGCGGTTTTCCTTGGAGAGGTATTCCTTGGAGCGCGGACGCAACCGCTAATTTTCTAGCCCTGAATAAATCTTTCTTATCGTGCATCTGAATTCAAAAATTTATTGACCCGGAAATCAGCCAGCACAAGCATAGTTTCAAAAAAAAGAAGATTTTTGCGTTCACAGGAAATTGCGTAGTATTGCACTTAACCTAAATTTTTCAGTGATACCTAGCTATAATCCAGAAGGCTTCAGATTCCAGCTGTAAAACACAAAAGTACCGGTGGGACATTTTTGTGGAATTTCTAGTCGCCCATTCCTTATCGGGGCGTTGCCCGTCACGCCGCGGGAGTCCTTTTTGGTGGCTTCTGCCTAAGCAAGGCTTGGATTTTTCAAATCGATTCCGGACCTATCTCTTTGACGAATTTTTACCAACTAGCTGGACAAAATCAATTACATGCATTTGCCGTCGACAATAAATGTGTAAATCCCTGGCATGCTTTGGATTCAGGAAAAAGAAGGTGAGTCCAGCATTCCTAATCTAGCAACGCTTTTGAAAGATAGCCCTAGACTCCATTCATCATCCCAGCCAAAATTCTAGAAGAATCCATTTTGAAAATTATAATATCAAATTAATGTGTGACTGTGTCGCCGGATTTTGCTTGTTTTTCCATAAATATTTTATTTTCGTGATTTTTGGGCGGAAATTAAATATGTTTTAAAATGAACAGAAATTAAATATACATTTTTTGACATCGCATCAAATTCCGTTCAGGAAGCGTTATAAAAATATCTGAAATATCGGAAACCTGTTCGCTAATCCATGAACTTATATTAAAAGCACGTGTAAATCTTGCTTTTGCCACATCTTTTTATAAATATTTATATTAAACTGTAATTAAAACTCTTAATATATTTTTCGATGCTCTACCAAGAAAAAAACCAAAAAATGCTCGCACAAATAGTGTTTACTTGAAAAGGTTAGTTGGCTTTAAACGTTCTGTCCGAATGCTAATCACGGTAATATTTAGCCAAATGAAGCACTCGAATTCGTCAATCTACCCCGGGCGATCCACCAACGGCTTCTCGATTTTGTGGGCATGGACGATCCGAAGACTCGATTCCGTTATGCTAGAACATGTAAATTTCTATGGAAAATGACGGATGAATCAAAGGCCCCGTTTTTAAATTATGGCGTTCTGCTCCATCCTACATTTACCGAGATTTCGGTTGCTCCCACGCCATCCAACCGAAAGCCCAACCAAACCAATAGGATTCATAGCCCGCGTACGAGAGCATTGCTATTATCTGGGAAAACGGTACAGTTTACCGAGATTTGGCAAATCCCATACATGCCTGTTTGCATGAGAACATTCGATTTAAAAGTGATGATACTAGAAAAGGATGATTCTGCTCGAATCGATCTACTTCAAAAGATGAAGCCACTTTATAACAAATACAGTCGCATTAATTTATCTTCGAATTTCGCGAGTGCTCCATCACGTCAGCTTATCCAATACGCAAACAACAATGCCAATCACCTAATCATGGATGGATTTCTTGATTCATCACTTTGGTCCCAGCTTAAATGCCCCAGGTTTTTTGTAAGAATCAGAGAACGGCAAGGATTACAGGCATATATCGATTTGTTAGTGAATGAGTGGAAATTGGGAGAGCGAGAAATCGAAGAAATTACAATTTTTACGAGCGACTCCCCACCTCGTACTGAGGATTACCGACGAGAAATTGATGGACAACGGCTGTCGATACGTTCCCATTTCGCTGCGTGGGCTATTTGCTTTCAATTGCTAAGAGTTAACGAAAAATGACGATAATAGAAATAATATTTTCGTATTTTCATATGCGCTTCTACCTACTCCTCCTCCCTCCGCGTCTTTCTCCCCACCGGAAAAATATATTTGAGTGAGCAGTCCAATAAATCGGTCGGTCGAAGCGACCCCGGAAATCGCAATGCAGTACATTTCACGCCGGTTTCCTCCTCTAATTAACTCGTTATAGATTTAATACGCCTTGTTTCAATTTATGATTTATTTATCCCGCTAATCTCTTGATTGAGCCACGACCATTTTCCGCACTTGAATAAATTTATATTTAATCCAGTATAATTCAAGCATTTACTTGTGCAAGACACTGCCATTATCAGCCGAATTCAGGTTAACGCCCCAAGAAAAAATTGGCCCTTATCTTCTTTGCACCCGTCTTTTGCTGACTGCCATATTGCATTGATTCCCACCCCCCAGGCTTTTCAAAACAGAGCAACTCCTTATTTGCTGTAATCTTGGCCTAATTGGGTTTTCTAGCCCATAATTTAGCCCTGAACGAAGAATGGCAAATCTGGTCAAGGCAGTTCAGGTAATTTGAACGGGCACCGAAGTGGCAAATTGCCAGCGCGCGCTTCGGGATGAGAGCCCTCACCCCTCCGATTTTTGCGCGAAATTGTTTTTGCCCGCTCCATTGCGAAAAACACTAACTTCTTCTGCGCCGTAACTCGATTTTTGGCAATACCGCCCCTTTAAAAATGTCATTGTGCTAGATAAAAACTGAGAATGCTAACGTTTTTGCCATACTTTCAAAATGCCTAATCATCATTTCGAGATTTGAGAATTTGAAATTTCATGCTGTAGAAATTTCAGAAGGTCGAAGTTTATATTGGCAAATTTTCCGAAAGCCCCTAAAAATTATGCAAAAAATTTCGACATTATCAATTTCCACAAAATGAATTTCGATATTATGATAGCAAATGAACATTTTCAGGTGCCAGCTGCGAGTGAATGGGTGAACTATACGGTCCGATTCTACGCTACCCATGTCAGGTATATGCGCTCAGCGGATCCATTGGCGAGTGAAGAACAGCTCGATTATCCTGACACCATGCGAATTCTATCCGGAGTCAAGGCTTCGACTATTGAAGTAGCGAATCCGCCGGAGCATGGATTTCCTCCAGGGATGCAAGCTTATATACTAGACATTCAACGAGTTCCAACCCGCGATCTCCTCTCAGTGCTCAAGCAGCTGCAACCAATTAATCAGAAGTACCACCGCGTTCATCTTTGCCTGAATCGAGGGGATGAAGCTCTCGAGCTAATTCACTACCTCAGCAATCCCAACAATGTCCTGCAACTAACTATTTCTGAATTTGTCAGTCAAAATCTATGGTCGGAGTTGAAATGCACGAGATTCACGATTAGGAGGATGGATGGCATCGAGATAAAGGAAATTGAACAGTGGATCCGGCTGCTTGTGAAAGAATGGCAATCGAAAGAGCGAGAGATTGATGCGATCAAGTTTGAGACTGGTGTACACCGGGATCCGGAACGTTTTATTCGGAGTGATGGAGAATGCTTGTCCGTCGTTCGCACGAATGAGGGGATTGTTTTGAGCTGCAGCGGATCGGACTAGCTTGATGGTTTTAAAAGGTTCGCGGCTTTTCAACCCTGGCCCGTCTAGGACCTTCAATTTGCGTGCGTCTTCCCGAATTTTAGCATGAAAAAAGTGAGAAGCGCGCCCTTTCTTGCTTTTTATAAGCCACCTCCGCTTCCGCTGTATCGATTGATTCCTAACAAAGAGGATGGCCGAAAAATTGAGAAAAACCTAATTTTAATGTCGAAAAAAGAGCATTTTCCATCATCTGACAAGTGTGCAAACATTCCCAGGACATTACGCGCCGAATGACGTATCAAACACTCCCGTAGCTTCCCTCCTTCTTGAGATACTACCGGAACAACCTGACGGAAGTTGCATGAAATGCACACACATATACAAAAACAGAAACTAGTTTTTTATATATAGTAGGAAGTAGGATTTTCGAGACAAACGAGTTGGCACAGCTTTTTCTTCTCCATCTTACAGGCGGGCATATAAACCATACAAAAAACCATAAACAAAACCAATTTTAGAAGGCGGAAAAATTTATTTTCGGGTTTTAGCTAGGCGTCGTAGTCCAAAATCCCCTGATCGCATATTCAAAACAGCTTTTCAGAATCGCGGCCGATTCAGACAACTCATAACTACTATGCGTCAAACGAGATCACCGGTACTATGTGTCTGCAGATCTTAACAACTACGTTTTCTCATTCTCTCATTTTTCTGACAATTCCCTGCAGCTTGTACAGTTTACCAACTTCTTTTGCCCTTTTCACAGAGCTTCAATTCCAAACGAATAAACGATACGAGCGAGATTTTGTCAATTATTCTTCTGTAGTTTGTCTACATATCAAAAATCGAGCAGAAATATTTTATTATTTTAATCGCAACTGTTAGGTGATAAAAATGTAAATTAAAAGTATGGAAACGGTTCGTAAAATTAGCTTTCAATGAACTGACCGTCTAGAGCAAGTGCAGTGTCATTCGATCTCCTTACTGGAGTCATCAATTAGCGTGAGGCTTCTTTTTTGAACATGGCTTTGCTTCTTTGCGGGTATCAGTGTACTCGTTGTGGGTGTAGGTTTCGAACAAATCAGCATCACTACGTGCCGAATGACATGCTCGGGTATATCTGCATGCCTTACAAACTATGTTTGTTTCTTCTACGCTATCCTTTTCCATACTGTTGCGTTTGTAGTATTTATTCGAAATTCGGGGGATAAGAATGATCATCGAAAATCCAATTCTTTGGGCTTTTAAAAGTTATTTTTGGCATACGAAAATTCACGGGATACTGAAATAAAAATGAATTGGAAATAGGGACTCATTTTTCTGTTTTATTTTTCAATCGCCGCGCTTCGCGCTCACACCTATAGCTTCCGTTGAAAAATTTGTCGGTTCCATTTTCCGTGATTTTTTTACTGAATTGATAATACGCATCAATCATTTGATCTATAAATTTTCTATCTACTGTCTCGTAATGGCGATGGAAATCGGCTAGCTGATGCTTAAAGATGTTCCGAATAGCGGGGAAACGGTTGTCAAGGTATTCGACAGTACGAACAATATTGCGCTCGTAGAAGGAAGTGCTATCGAGAGAAAATTCCTCGCCCCACGGCTCCTTGAGCATATAGTATTCTTCGATGGTTTGGGCTGCAGCTAGCTCTTCTTCAGTAGGTTCTGTCCACGCTGGTCGTGGCCACTTCACCCAGGGCCCACGAGGCGTGAAGCCAAGCTCGGCACGCATCTCCTGTAGGCCGATCATGTACACGGAATAATGGAGGAACTGCCAAACAACACCTCCTCCTACACCCGGCCTAAATATCATAAGCATTGTCGGACTAGAAAATTAGATAAAATAATAATACCTATAATGACACGGCCGGGAAGCAAAAAAAAATTAGAAGACCGCGTTTTTTAAAGCTACACTTACTTCAAAGCATGATCAAGTATCTGGTCCATATCGCTGTGATTGAAACAGGCTTCGGCTATATTTTTCAGCTCTTTGTCAATGTCGAATAGTGGAGAAGTGGTCATATTGTCAAAGACATCATTATTTTCTGGAGTATTTGCAGTTGTTGATGGCAAGATTGGAGTAGCAGTGCCTTCTGAAATCAAACAGTCAAAGATTAAGTATATGAAGCTTACGTGCATACAAGACGATGGCGATAATTGCAAAAGCAGCGTGTTTGGCTGCCATTCGACCAGCTGAAATTAGGTTTTATTTTGAGGTATTTATGCTAAGGATAAGCGGCAAAGGGTTGTCCGAAATAGAGATTTGCATATCTTGAAATTGGATATAATACATATTTAAGATAAGAAGGGAAGGGAAGGGATGGGAGACAGTGAAAATGGATCACCTGACCCAATTTCTAAACCATGACAATCGCTGGCTGGATGAAAGTGATCCTGATCGGTCGTGGGAGGACATACGACCAAACAAAATCTTGAAAATCATCTAGTAAAAAAAGTTTAGAGTAGACACGCGTATTTTAGAGACTCCGACTGTCCTATCAAAAGCGCAAAAGCACTTCATTTTCGATCTATCATACACAAAAGTAGTTTTAATTTACTTGTAAGAGAACATTTTTGCATTTAGATTCAATTCATTCCACTTTAATTTCAATTTTAATTATCGAATTTATTCCCGTTGTAAAGAGGCACTAAAATGTACGTGCTTGATTTACCAGACGAATTCATCAGAAATCCCGTTGCGTGAATCTGATGCGTAGTTGACGATGAATCCGTAGGAAACGGCCATTAGAATTGCAACATTTATTGCCCTTGCAAATCAGCCATCACAATCAACGCTTCAAAAATGAATAATAAGGCATTCATGAATAAATCATACATGGCATTAAAAGAATTGGATTTAATACATCTTTAGGATTTTGCAAATACGAAAAATTTGGATTTTGGGTCAAAATAGGAAATTTGCAAAAATTTTGATTTTTAATGTTTTTAACTTAATTGTTGAATTATCGGAAAGTATTGAAATCACGGTCAAAATACCGTATATTATTACTAGACGTTTATTGGCTAATTAGGTATCGATCACAGGGCCCGATCGCACTCATACATTATGTCAAAATGTTTTTTGGTTCCATCTCTTGATATTTTGGCCCTCATTTTATAATACTCCTCAATCATCCCATCAATAAATTTCCTATCAACTGTCACATTACGGCGATGGAAATCTGCTAACATTTGTCTAAAAATGGTCCGAATTGCCGGGAAACGATTGTCAAGGTATTCGACAGTATGGACAATATTGTTTTCGTAAAACCAAGGACTATCAAGAGAGAATTGTTTGCGAAACGGCTCTTGCAGCATATAGTATTCTTCGATGGTTGATGCGGCAGCTAGCTCTTCTTCAGTGGGCCATGAATACTTTTTCCAGGGCCCACGAGGTGGGTAGCCAAGCTCAGCACGCATCTCCTGTAGTCCAATCATTGACACCGAGTAATCGAGGAAAAACCAAACAGCAGCTACCATGACAGACGGTCTAAATATCACAAAAATTTGTTAGAACAAACTGTTGTTTTATGCGCTTTCCGGGCCTAGCTTGCCATCCGGTATACCTCATTCCTATTAAAGAGATGGGGACGGCATTTGTTGAACCCCCCTTGGGGAGGGGGTCAACGGATGCAGCGGCGAGGGAGGCGGGGAGAGGCGCCGAGACATTTTCTTTCCCGCGCGTAATCGGTTGAGTTATGCCGCCCCTATCCCTTTAATTAAGTGATGTGCGCCACCAGGCGCGTAGGAGGGGGGCAGCCCTCTCCCCCCGGAATCCGGCGGGCCCAAAAAAAACGTAAGGGTCCTCCCTTATGATTTTTTTTCACCTTGAAAATTTTTTCGCCTGCTGCGCTGCTATTTTAGTCAAAGTTTTCGCCTGCGGCGCGACGCAGCGCTCCTATCGACTCAAAAATGTCTGGGGCCAAAACTTTGGAGGGTCTTGTAAAAAAGAGTCTTGTAAAAAAGTGGATATAAAAGTAAAGCTTATAAAAAGCGATCGTCCGGCAAATTTTGAAATTTGGCATTTGTTCAGAATTTCAAGCACTATCGAATGCGCTCGGTCGAAAGGTCCAGAACACAGACGCAGACGCCTTCTTACCAGCAAAAATGATTTCATTGAAATGAAATTCAAAGGGAAACTTACTTAAAGGCATGCTCAATTATGTGGTTCATATCGTCCTCGGTGAAACAGGTTTTGGCTATATTCTTAATTTCTATGTCAATGTCGATTGGCGGAGACGAGGTCGTCCCAGTTTCAGCAACATCTGCGATTTCTGTAGTATTTGTAGCCGTTGACGGCACGCTCGGAGTAGAATTGCCTTCTGAAAATGATGGACGGGGGTTCCAAAATGGTAACCATTTCAAATGCAGGTATCATGCTTACGTGTTTCCAATAGT